ATTACAATGCACAGGCGTATGTACCATAAGGTGAACACCAGCAGGGTTTGAGCGAGTGTCACCAGGTTACAGGGCATGGAAGAGGAAGCTGTATGATGATAGTCGGCGTTCAGGGAAGAGAGGGGTGTGCTTGACAACCCAGTAAGCTCCTCAGTCTTACTAGGGATCAATCTCTGTGAGAAGCTTCTCAAGTACAGTCTCCAGGGCTGTGCACAGCTGCAGACCTCTGGAAGCAGAGCCAAACAGCAGCAGACCCTAGTTCTTTCTGAGCGGACAGTCAGGTCAACTCTGTGTCAACAAAAAGATCATATTCACAGCAAGAGGCTCTCAACACAGGCAGCAAAGGCCAGAAGTCAAAAGACAAGAGAGATTATTTGTTTATGCTCTATCACTGGCATCACCTTCAAAATGGTAAATTCAGATGTAACATGGTTTCTCAGATATCATTCTTTTTGCCACAGAAAGAAAGTCAGCTCTTTTTAATAGAGCAAAAGAAAACCTAAATCATAAGATTTGAACAAGATTATTAAAAGACATTATTTACAAACCAACGACTGTGATCAGGGTAGATGAGACAGAGATGACGTAAACCTGGGTTTTCATCACTGAGAAGCACGTGTCTGTGGCACAGGTGACCTTGCTGGAGGGCTGTGGGGTACACAGGACTCTGCTGAACAGGATACAGAGCTGCTCACTTGCAGATTCATCTGTGTAGCAGGGTAAAATGAAACCAGGGCCACAACACCCCAGAGGGGGTGATTAAGGGCTCCTTTAATTAGCTATTTTCTGATCTTAGACTCTCGCAGAACACCACAGCGAGGCAGAGGCCATCTTTAAACAAGAAGTTCTAAGCTCCATCCTGCCTTTGCTTTTACCTCTTAATTGAAGAGGTCTGGTTTATGATATCCTGAAAAGAGAGCAACTCAAGGCAACCCAATTTAAAAAGAAAAGTGATACATGAAGAAAAAAGTGGAAAAGGAAGCTGCGCCAGCCACTGCTGACAACGGCCTTATTTGTGGAGGCCAGTTGACAGCTGGAGAAATTGCCACCACTCCCTGACACTTCTAAATCCTACTCTACCCGCCTGCAATCCATCTAAGTCTGGGTTCCCACAGTGACAACTTTTCAACTTCCCATTTTAAGAAGAAAGCCACCTTCAAGCAATCTCCTCTACTGGCTTTCAAAAAATAACCTGCTGTACTTCACACACAAAGATAATCTTCCTGCAAGCAACACCAGGTCCCACCAGCATTTGCTTCCACTCGGTTTTCCGAGGGCCTTAATGAGTTTATACAGACCGAGCCCACTTTATTTCTAGATTCTTCAGGGGCTTACTGTCACATGAAAGTGAGAATATATGAAAGCATCTTCTAAAATGAGGAAATAAAATAAGAAAGGCTTACACATAAAACTTTCCAACTTATTCCAAGAGCAAAAGATTACCATTATAATGTAACCAGACAAAATATCACAGGAAATGAAAACTATAAACCAGTATGTCTTATAAATGTAGACACAAAAATCCTCAGCAAAATACTGTACTATCAAACTGAATTTAGGAGTGTATACAATGACCAAGTGGGATTCATCCCTGGAGAGCAAGGTTGGTTTAACACCCAAATCAATTACTACAATATGCTGTAACAGTAGAATAAAAGAAAGGAAAACCACAATTACCTCAAAAGCTACAGAAAAAGCTTCTGACAAAATTCAATACCCTTTCATAATAAAAACACTCAGCAAACTAAGAATAGAAAGAACTTTTTACTCTGATAAAAGGGCACCTGTGAAAAATTTAGAGCTAACATCATTCTCAATAGTGAAAGATAATGCTTTACCTCCCAAGATTAGGAAGAAAAATATTTGTTCTAAATAATTCTATAGTATTGTATTGGAGGCTCTTGCCAAGGCAACTAAGAAAACATAATTAAAAGGCACCCAGATTAGAAAAGGGAAAGCAAAACTATCTTTATTTGCAGATAATATAATTATTCAAAAAAAATTTCTTAAGTTATCCATTAGAAATCTATTAGAGCTAATAAACAAGATCATTAAGGTTTCTGGAATGTACAAGATTAATATATAAAAATCAATTGTAGGCTCGGCGCCTATAGCTCAACCGGCTAAGGCGTCAGCCACGTACACCTAAGGTGGTGGGTTCGAATCCCCAGCCCAGGCCCGCCAAACAACAATGACGGCTGCAACCAAAAAAAAATAGCCGGGCGTTGTGCCGGGCGCCTGTGGTCCCAGCTACTTGG